CCACTAAAATTGGCTCTCCAGACTAAAACATATGTTTGAGACTTCTTTTCTTGTCCACTTCTAATCATAGTTCCCTTATCCATTCATTTTTCATTCCTAAAATTAAGATGACTCTTCTATGAATGAAAACAAGCAAAAGTAAGCCTAGATCAGCTTAACATAGAATTTTACAAAGACTTCTAGGAGGTCTTAAAAGATAGTCTCCTAACCTTTTTTTTTTTGTCTTTTTTACTCTTATTACTTCTTTCCCGACCATTAGGATCGTACCTTCCTAGTCTTCATCCTAAAGACTCTTAATATTACTTGGATCAAAAACATTATATTGATAGCACTATATAATAATATTTATAAAATCCTCACCAAATTCTTTTCTAACTAAATCAAGGTCCACATCAATTAGCTCATTGGCTAGGAACTATTGGCTTTCATTAAGGATATAAATATTCATAGATAATATATTTATTACTACCGAACTTGTTCATTCTATGTATTTATCTAAATATAAAACTTCTCATATCCTTTTGACGTTAGATCTCGAAAAAGTCTTCGACTCTATCTAGTAAGAGGACATTAAAACTATTTTAGGATTTATAAACTTTTCTATAAAATTTATTGACTAGATCTCTACTTGTATCTTCTCGACTACTTTTGCTTGTCTGATTAACAAGGAGCAGTCCCCTTGGTTTTGAAGAAAAAGGAAGATTAAATAAAAAGATTCCCTCTCTCTATACCTATTTATCATCATCAAACAAATCTTTTTTTCTTGTTCTCTAATGTCTGTTAAAGAAAACATCTCCCACCTTATGTTTGCAAATGAAATCCTCTTATCTTTTAAGACTAATTCTAAATCTTATATAGATGTCCTCGAGATCTAGAAGATATTTGAAACCTTACCTACCTTAAAGTTAACATTGCAAAATCAAATATCAACTTTCCCACACACATGAAATAAGCACCTCATTTATAACTCTAGGCATTCAAGAGGGCTACTAGCCCTTCAAATACTTAGGTGCTTATTTATCTAAGGGCAAATTGCAAGGTAGATTCCATAGTATTCTTATAGATAAGCAAAATTAATGGATGGTACAAAAGGTGCCTTCTAAGTTGACAAGCAGGCTCTTATTAACTCTTTATTTAATTCCCTCCCTACTTATATCCTATTCAGTTCTTGAATTTATAATAAATTTATTGTTAGATTCTCTAAACTTAGACGTGATTTCTTTTAGACTGATAACCAAGACAACAATAGAATGCATCTAATTAATTGATACTAGGACTCTTTTCAAAAGACTATCACAGCTAAACACATAAAATTATCATCATCCATAACCTCTTAATTGTTAAATAAAAGACTATCATCATCATCCATAACCTCTTAATTGTTAAAAAGACTATCACAGCTAAACACATAAAACTAATTTTTAACTCCCATATTTCTCTAGGTTAAAATCTTTCTAGCCAAATATAACAATGTTCATCCTTAGTCCCCTCAATTCTTAAATAGGACTTCCACCATATAATAAATCTATCAACATTAGAAATGACTTTAGGAAGCTCATTAATAATGACCATGGCACTAAAGTCAGTCTAGGAGCATCCCAATCAACAAATGACCTACCTATTTTGGGATTAATGATACGGGGAGTTTTTTTAGATTCTGACATTATATCAAATTTTCATTGGAATCCGAGTATTTTAGAATTAATATTTTATCCTCTATTTATTAAACAAATTTTGGTCATTCATCTATCAATCATATCAACCCGACTTATAATCCAGCATACAATCTAACTGTCAATAGTGCTTATAAGCAACTGACCAAATATGATACATCCGAGGACCCTTGGCAAGGATGGAAAATAATATGACGGCTTAAGATGACACCCAAGATATAAATCTTGTGATGAAAGCTTTCTTGAAATCGCCTGCCATCTTCTATCTCAAACATCATACACATGTTCTTCTGTTTATCATGACTCACCCCACATCCTATTTGATTATAGTTTTGCCCAAGCTTTCAAAGTTGCTTGGATTGACAAGGGTTCCTACATAAAAACAAACCTTCTTAAGATAGATTCTTAGCCACTATTGCTACTTGCCTTTGGTTATAGTGGAACAATCGTCACGACGTTAAGGATTGCAACCGTCCTTCCAAGGTTTCCACCCCTTTCAAGGAAAATCTATTGGCTGTCAATGATTCCTATGGGTCCTCCCAGGTTCTTGAGGACTTCGACGTTATGTTTGATGAGAGCCTTGAGGATGAACAGGTAAGTTTCCAATACTATTTGGAGTTTAATGGTGTTATTAGATTTCTGGATCTTCCTGTAGGCATTGGGTACCTCATCCGAAACTCTTCTGACACTATTTGCTGTGGCTGGGGAGGGGGATGGGATCCTGTGAAGCTTCTAACCCTCTAATGGCTGAGGCTATGTTTGATTACAATTTTCTTACATATGGATCGAATTTGATTCCCTGTAAGTTATAAATTTTGGCAACGATTGTCCCTTATCCCTTGGTTTTTGAGATCTATTTTTTAATGATTTTTTCACTTACTTGACATCAAGTTGCTCACTTACTCAGAGCTCTCAACATCCTATAAGTCATTCACTGGCATTTTTTTTGATAGATGTGAGTCTTTCCAATTTCTGTATTTTACGGATGACCCGTGGGCTTTATAGTTTTATGCTGATTAGTATTTAGTGGCAATATATTTTCTTTTCCTTCAAAAAAAAAAAAAAAATCCCTGTTTGTTCTAAAGACATCAGCTGCCATTATTTTTATTGCTTCATGATTCATACTTTTAGTTCCTCTGGATGGTAAGAGCTTTCAAGCTTTGAAGCCACGTCTGTTTTGGTGTTCATGGTTGATGGATCGAAAACCTGATGAATCGATAGAATGAATTTATTATGTCCTACATTTTAAGAACAAATCTGTAGGTATTGGTTGTATCCTGTTCTTCACATGTGAGGTTGTCATGCATCATTGTTCATTTCTTTTGAGCAAGAAATTGTATTCCTCTCTTCTCTAGACTAACATGCAGTCTCATCATCTTGAGGAGGGTGGCATGAGTAATCAATCATCAACGATCACCGTGAACTCTGTGATGACAGAATCAAGATTTTGGCTGTGAATATATATTCTCAAGATGTGCATGATTTAGCTTTTGTCAGAGCTCATCGTTTCAGTGGATGCAAGGGTGCGTTATCTGCTGCTGCTGCTGCTGGATACATGTCAGAGCATAAATCTGAGATTAGAAATTGCAGAGAATGCAACTTCTTTTTCTGCGTCAGGTTTCACCAACTCTTTCACATTCTAGTAGATTACTTCTTTGTCAATGAGGAGATCAATAACAAAATAGAGGCAATATAAAAAAAGGTCACCATTACTCTATTGTGACATTGGGTTGCAAAAGTTAGCTGGAGTGATTGATGTTTCCTGCAAACTGAAGAACAAATCCCCCACCACATAAAGATCACCATGACACAGAGACATCTGATTCAGATGGAGGAAAAAAAAAAGAAAAAGAAAAAATGTATTGCAATTTGAATCATGCTGTTGTTGTTCATGGCCATATCAAAACGATGTACTAATGTTTTCCATGATGACAACTGACTGGGCGGATACAATGTGAGTATACTGGAGATATATTTTGTAAGAACCTATATACATATATATATATATATATATATATATATATATATGGTATGGATAAAATTATTATCTAGTTTATATTTGTAAGAGATAATAAATGGTGAAGATGAGAATTGATTCCAACATCTTACTATCAACTTTACTTACTAACATATATAAATCTGACAGATTTGATGATATTTAAGGGTAATATGTTATCGAATAAGATTTTAAACCGAGCATTGATAAATAGGCTTAATAACAACTTATTTTGAAGAAATAGACTATATATATATATATATATAATTGGATCGACATGATCGACATGGTAAGGTGAAATTTTGTCTCCTACAAAAAGGACAAGTTTTTCCCAAGCGAATCCTATCCTAATGTCGGTCACTAGGCAGTACGAGGAAGCATACCATTTGGCAAATTTATCAGTTCATTTTAAAATTGTAAGAAAAAAAAAAAACAAACAAACAAACTTATCGTGCTTATTGATGTTTGATTAACATGTTTCATCCGACCATACGATAATAGATAAATTAGCAGTTTAATATCTCAACCTTTAGTTCTTCTCACCTTCTTATGCTTATTAATGGGAAAAATAAAATAAAATATCAAGTAAATAAAAATATCTAAAAGAATGAGCTTAAATATAAATATAGGATTTTTTTTTTTTTGATGATTTGAATTGTAGGGAATAAGACTGAAGACATTTGTTTGAATTCAAGGTCCCTAAGGTTTGTTTATGCATGATATCATGATCTGATATCATGATTTATGCTTCGAGAATTAAAAAAAAAAAAAAAGTATCAGATTTATGCATGATAAGATCCCCAACAACAAAGCTACGAGACGATCCACAAAGTAAAGTCATTAGGAAGTCTTCCGAGTCCACACAATTAGAAAAAAAAATATACTATTTTTTTATTTTAATATTTATTTTTTATTTAATAAATTCTTAAAAGATAAATAACTTATCAAACGATGAATATACATACTATCATCGAATCAATATTATAAGTATATTTTTAATTTAATAATAATAATATAATATTATTAAATTATTATTTTATATAATATTTATTTCATATATTTATTCCTTATTAAAAAAATTTATAAAGATAATCGGTGAAAATATAATTTAATTTTTTCCGAAAGATTAAAAAAAAATTTATTATTTGGAAACACGAGTACGATTTGAGACCATCGGATAATTCAGCGGCAATCAGATCAGAATTCAATTTGAGAATCCGATATTTATCAGCTAGTTGAATTAGCTTTGACATGTCGAACAACACCGGTACACGACAACGGATTACCCTCACCCACCCCAAGTCCGCTCACCGACACTGAGTGTGAAGAGAGGTCACTTTCTCCTTGCTCTCTCTATCGACACGAGCGGCAAAAAGGTTTCCCCTCTTCCCGGCTAACAGTAAAAGACGAGTCCCTCTTTCCTTCTTTAATCATTTCATTTCATCCCATCATTCCTCGATAGTTCCCCTTCCCCTCCTCTCCCCCACTCCCCAATATGCAACTTCGAGTAAACAATGTGCTAACTTGTTTTGGCCTGTAGGTGGTGAATGGCGAAGGAGAGGGGGAATGGTGTGGTGGTGACTGGGGTTCTTTTGGCCTGCATTTTGGCCGGGGATCCAGGTGGTGTCGGTGGCATCACGGACGAGACTGATGGTGAGTGGTTCCGGAGATTCTTCAGCAGCTTTCCTTTTTCTTTTCTCTTTGGTGAAAAGAAGTCTCTCTGTTGAGGAAAAGGACTTCTTTAGTTAGATGTTCTCGATCCTTTTTATTGCCTTTAGACTGATGGTGAATGGTTTTAGATTTCTTCAGCAGCTGTCTTTTTTGCTTTTCGGTGAAAAAAAGAGTTTTCTTGAGGAAAAAAATAATAATCTTTTTTGAGGTATAGAGAAACAGGGCGAGAATTTCGCAAGTTGTTTCTGGTCGTTGAGTCGTTATCTTCTGGTGTTTAACGGGCTAAAATTCATGCTCTTGATCTTTATAAACATTCTTGGGTTTCCGGGATTTGAAGAATAGTTTAGTCCATATTGTTGTTTTCTAAGTGAAAAAGATTGAAAGTTTTGGTTTTGGTGGAGAGAATACTGGGGAAAAGAAACAATTTTGGTTGGATTTGAAGGAAGGATCGAACCTTGGCCGAAAAGGGAAAAGACTCATTTCTAAACAAGGATAAATGGCTTCTTTTCTTGTTCGTCCGTTTAGGGATATAATACGTATACCTAGTAAATCTTCCCTTTGCTAGATGATCTATATTTGAGCATGCTATCAAGAGAAATATAAATAGGATGTTGACTTATATTGCATCTTCATCAGATTCTTCGTGGTGGATTTTTGACCAAGCTTAGCTAAGTTGCAGACATTTCGTTTCCAATTTTAACTCTTTTTTCATAATGAAGCGATGGCCTCTGAGTGTAATTATTGGCATGCACTTGTCTGACTTCATGGCAACTTATGAACTTTAAGCTTAAATAGATTCAGTGCTGATTTTTTATTTTTTTATTTTGTTATTATGTTCCATGTGCAGCTTCTTCTCTCAACATCCTTTTTACCAGCCTAAATTCGCCATCTCAGCTAACAGGTTGGGTTCCAAGTGGTGGTGATCCCTGTGGGGATTCATGGCTGGGTGTTACATGCACAGGCTCCGCTGTTACAGCAATGTGAGGTTCTGTTCAAATGAAATTTATGTTTGGAGTTGTTGCTTTATCTGATGGTTTTTGTCACCCTTGTGGACTATATCAGCAAATTGTCAGGGTTGGAACTTGCTGGGACACCTGGCTATAATTTGGCAAGCATGTCTTCGCTAGCTGAGCTGTGAGTTGGATGAAACCATTCATATCATATTTTATATTTTGGATCTAATCCCCTGATGTTAAAATGCAGTGACATGAGCAATAATAATCTTGGAGGTGGAGACCCAATACCTTATAACCTTCCACCAAACCTCCAGAGTTTGTAAGTGATGCAAGTGGGGATAGTTTTAACTGTTTGCATGCTTCTGTGTGACCTTCATGTGGATAAACTTTGCAGAAACTTTGGAGGTAACCAATTTGGTGCAAATATACCTTATTCAATCTTCCAGATGGTGACACTTAAGTATCTGTGAGTGGCAGTTTAATCCCATTATTTTCTGTACTATTGACCATGATGCTATCAATCTAAACAAAGTGCCAATTGATGTAGAAATCTTGCTCATAATCAACTACAAGGAAACCTGAGTGATATGTTTGGAAGCCTTTCTAATCTCACAACAATGTAAGTGTAAACTGTACTATTTTGTCATTATGTTACTTAGTGTCTGCTTGACGACCACTCGCTTCATACAATAAAAAATTCTAATCATCATTCTATTGTTTGATAGAATGCTATTTTCTGTAACAATATGTTTGACACATTTAAACTTCTGTAAGGTTTATCATGTCACACATTTAAATTGACTTGCAAATCATGGAATAGATTTGTTCATCTATGAAATGATTGAACACAGTAACATGATTATTTCACCAAGAGTTTGAAATCATTATTGCTAATTTATCCATTTTGTCAGATAGAATTCTCTTCTAGGTACTTATAAGCGAATCACTAGGTTGTCAGCTTGACTTTATTCAAGTGAATATCTGCTTTCGTTGCACTTAAAGAATGACAACTTTATATTGCAGGGACTTGTCCTTCAATCAACTTACTGGTGAACTTCCACAGAGCTTTAACAACCTATCAAGTTTGACAACCTTGTATGTTGAATAAATGTTAAATCCAATAAACTTGATTAAATTTCATTCTGAAAACAGTACAGATGTATCATTCATTAATTTTATATAGGTATTTGGAGAACAACCAGTTTACAGGCCAGATAGATGTCCTTGCGAATCTTCCCCTTCAAGATTTGTAAGTGTATACATTTCACTATGTTTTATAAAAAATAGTTTCTGTAGTTTATGTTAGTTGATTTACATGTTCTTGCTTTTAGAAATGTGGCAAATAACCTCTTCACCGGATGGATTCCTGATCGGTTAAAAAAGATAAATAATCTTCGGTGAGCATTTAATGGCTTCTGTGACATGAACTGCCTAATGACCATGTGAGTCACAATATATGGATCTTATATTTATCTTAATTTGCAGTACTGATGGTAACTCATGGAGCTCATCACCCGCACCTCCACCGTCACCTTATAGATCTCCTCCACCAGGCCAAAAAAGCAACCCAGGCCAACAATCTGATGGAAGTAACCAATCATCAGGCGGTGGAGGTGGGAATAACTTTAATATTGGTGCTGGGACAACAGCAGGAATTATTATATCTATTTTGGTCATAGGCGGAATAATTGCATTCTTTTTTATGAGGAAGAAATTACGAAAATCTTCGAGGGAAAATGTTCTAAAAAAGGATCAGCCTTTTGCCCCTCATGCTTCAGATGATGCTAAAGGTAATTAGTTGTTTATACATGCATAATATCTGGAAAATTCTACTTTTCCATTTTAACAAATGGGGGCATGCAATCTGCCAGCCTACCTTCACCCAACAGTTGCCTTCATACTGCTCCAGTTTCCCACTCGAGGATGTGTTCTTCTGTCCCATCGCCATCCATTCAGTCGCTGCTATCCATTTCTTGGTTTTGGTTAAATGCAGCAATTAACTAAGTGGAAAATTTTGCAAGATCTCATGCTACCACAGGCAAGCACAGATGTGAAGGAGCATTTTCCTTAAAATTTAAGAAACAAGGACTTCTTTAGACTAATCTCTAATCCTATCATATATTACACAGGTTGAAATATGCCTATGCATATTGTTGTGGCATGGCCTGTGAATCTGTGATTGGACCAAACACTGGCCTACATTGGGCCTCTGAATGACTATATGATCAAGTAATTTCAACAAGAATTAAGCTACTTAGAACTTGATAATTTCTCTGAACATACAAGGTCTGAAATTTTTATCTGAATGATCACTAAACTGAGGCTTTGAAGGGATTGGGGTTTTAACAGTATATATTACTGGATCTAATTTGTGTTTTTTTTAAATTGAGGTTACTCTGAGTATATCTTTACTTTTGGCAAGCATTTTGGTGATTATTAAGTTATGGAGGTTAGGATTTCTTTTTTTTTTTGCCAATATAACTGTTTATGGAACTTTCTACTCTGTTGTTGATTAGTCATTTTTGTAGTGCTTAATTTTCTTTTTCTTTTTCCAAGTAAATGTGGCCTCATTTATTGTGAGGCTACACTAGTTTATATAGATGGTCAATTTCTCATTGTGCAAAGTATTTCAGAAGAAGAGTAAACTATTAATAAGCGGCATAGAAATTACAGAGAAAATACATCATAGGAATACAACCTCCTAGCTATTATACCAAACAAAAGTTTTTGTTTGCCTTTTCATGTTGGTTGTCCTTTTGAATAAGCATTTTTATAGGACACAATTTGGACACTATATGCTTCCTTTCTCACTTCATTGGAACATCTTCTTTCTCCAATTTCATGCGGTCCTTTGTGTTCTATACTGCAAAACACAAAGGCTGCTGAGTAAAAGGAATTAGATAGCTCTTATATTTTCATAAAAGCTCCTCATATAAGTATACACGCCAGGTAACTGTCATTAGGTCAATTCACCTGGACGCATGTTGAAAATCTAAAACCTGCTTCGGCGAATCTGACTCTCTATGGCAAGAAGTATAATTCAAATATAGAGGTGTAATGACTGCAGTGTTCCCTGAATTTTATCAACTTAAACCCTACTTTAACTTTGTTCATTTTAACCCTTGTATCCACGGCATTAGACACAATTAGTCCCTATACCGTAAAGGCCACTACAGGGACTATTTTGAACAAAAGGAGTTTAGCCTTCAGGACTAAAATTGCCTGGTTCTTGAATTCTATTTTATATGACAGGTCTAATTTAGGTATTTTAGTGATAAAATTAAAAAAATGGGTATATGATTTTAAAAACTAACTTCATTATGACTTTGGTTCTTAGTGGTGATGACATGACATATGATCCTAAATTGAATGAGTAAACACAACCATTCCCCACCTAATGCACATGAATGTAATAGATATCTGTCATGTTAGTATAATACACAAGTCCTACATAAGTGCAATCTGTGTATCATATCTGTAAGCTTCATGTCATCATAGACTTTAATGAGATACATGATGCCTATCCATAGCAGGGAGACTGGGGTTGCTCCTTTGCGACCTAAGAGATCAAGGTTCGAGTCACGAAAATAGCCTCTTTATATTTGGATAAATATTGGTAAGATGTGTACATTGACCCTCCCAAGATCCACAAGAGCCTCGTGCACCTAGTACGCCCACATGATGCCTCTCCAATGCAGCAAAAAGCTGAAATCAGGCCAATCCGAATGTTGCAAAAGATGTAATTTTAACCTAGTTCAGTCTATCTAGTATTAATCAAGAAATTCCAATGTGTTTAAAATTGACAAAAAGAAAGTCTACTTTCTTTAAGAAAAACATCAAACCATTTTTGGTTTTATTTTTTTGACCAATTTTTTTCCAAGTGTCTATTAGAGTTATTCATATTAAGAGTTTAGATAGACAAGTGGACACCGTGTAAAACTGATGTAGATGCCCATTCTTAAACGAATAACTCATAACAAAGTTCCAACTGTCGTGGACTCATTGCCATTGAAACAACAACAATGCAACCTGCCAGTCTCTTTAAATTAGTCCACCCAATTTGTAATATACTTTCTACACAAATTTATGTCCCTCATTTTCTCACTTTAGGTACTGTAACTTGATTTTCTGGTTCATATTCATATTGTTATTTTGCTTATCATGTGAATGATCTTCTGTAGGGATGAAGACAATCCAGACATCCTCTACAGATACAGTGACATTCTCGCCACTAGCTCCCATAACCCTTAAACCTCCACCGATAGAAAGGCACAAATCACTGGGTGAAGATGATTTCTCAAACAAGCCTGTTGTGAAGAAGGATAATACAACAGCAATAGCAGTGACTGTTTATTCCGTAGCAGATTTGCAGATTGCTACAGACAGCTTCAACATAGATAATCTTGTAGGTGAAGGCCTTTTTGGTCGTGTTTACAAGGCACAATTTAGTGATGGAAAGGTATCTTTTGCTTCAAACCAGATCTTTGTGTTATCCTTTCTCAATAAACTTCTGATCTGTAGTCTGAAGCACACATTCTTTTTAACTTTTCACAAGTGATTTTGTTCCTTGCCAAAACAGAACAGCATAAACAATGCACAATGTCTCCTGGTTATAGGACTTGAACCAAACCCCAACTTATTTAAACCACAGACAACAATAATCACTACAATTCTCAACTACCTTTGAGAAGCCAAAAGTTATGAAACAAGAAAACAAGTTCAATTATTGGAAAACAGAAAACCAACTTCCAACTGGATCCACAAAGCAGATGGCAGTTCCTATCATGCAGAAAGCCCTCGATATTGTCTCTTATCAGTATTTACAATTTTCAGATGGCCCTGGAAAACAATCTAGAATTGTATTCAGACCATAATACGCAGTAGTAATAAATCACTGCATACCTTGCAATATATTTCTGCCTTTGATACTTTGTGCTAGAGAACTTGTTGCATATCAGAAACCGAAGCTATTAAAAACTAGCAATTTCTCCCACACGTTATTGGAAAACTTACATAGGAAAGATAAACACATTTCATTTTCACCTGCGGGTCAATTTGAATAACATACTCATTTAATGTTAGGCATCTATTTCTCTTGGCCATAAAGACAAACTCGAGAGATGAAAAATCATGTTTTATCCTTTAAGGTCAATCATATTATTGAAAAGCATCAGTTGTCAGCAGAAGAACCAAGTTCTGTTGGATGGCTGAAGAAATTTGTAATTTGATTAAGGAGACAACCTCAAAGCATGTAAACTACATTTGTCAACCAGAACCATCTAGCAGAAATATCTAGAATGACAAGTTGGGAACATAGTGTATCTAAAAAGCAATCACCATTATAATGTTCACTTTTAGCAGGATTACTGATAATAACAGGCCCAATAATGCTGATCAGTCTTATGTTAACTTAATTTACTTGTAAAATACGAATGCAACATACAATTCCTTGTGCACAAGAAAGAAGAGATGCATTGCACGTGCTTCAACAAAGAAGCATTTCAACTCATCCACTGCAACAGAAATGCTGTTGTTAGCATAATAATCCAGATTATCGAAATCTTATTTCCCTAGTTACAAGCATTGAATGTACTTCATTTACCAGAGCTATATTTCTTTGTTTTTTCAATATGAAGTTTCTGGAACAACTTCTATCCATGTAAACTGAAAAGGAATCTTTGGAGTCAAACTCCTCATTTCTGTAAAATATATATACTTCATAACTTTTTCTTGATTAATGTTTTTTACTCTCTAATGAGACCATGTTTACTAGTTGCCATCCTTAGGAACAAAGGAACTAAAATATAAAATGCTTATTATTCTGCAGGTTATGGCTGTGAAGAAAATAAACTCTTCAGCTCTTCCTCACCAGTCATCAGATGACTTCATTGAGCTGGTCTCGAATATATCTAATCTGCATCACCCAAATTTGAGTGAACTTGTAGGCTATTGCTCTGAGTATAGACAACATTTGCTGGTATATGAATATTACAAGAATGGTCCATTACATGATCTGCTTCACCTCTCAGATGAATACAGCAAGCCACTGAGTTGGACTGCCCGTATCAAGATAGCCCTTGGTACTGCACGAGCATTAGAGTAAGTGAAAGTATGGTTTTGAAGCCTTTTTCTGCTTGACCTGAAATTTATTGGCAGAAAACAAAACAACGAGTGCAGCATAGTTGCCATTTGGTCAAGAAATTATTGCTAGTCTTGCTTCAGGCTTACTGCAAGTGTTATTTTGAGAAAATCCCTGCACAGATAGATCTTGATGTTGTCATAAATAAAATCAATTATCTCATTTCTCATCAACATTATTCTGACTCACAAGCATATGGTGCTACTTTTTTTCTTTTATGTGCTTTTTAGGTCTTCATAAGCAATTCATGTACATGTTTGGACTATCTTCCCTTTGTAGCTTTTTCAGACCTAATATGGCTTACATGACACATTAATCTTGTCCAGTGAGTAATATCTCACGAACGACTGGTCATAAAATTGAACAACTTAGCTGTTTCTACCGCAACATATCTTGTTAGAAATTATTTTCATTGACTAGTGAACTTTACGTTTGAATATAACAATCAATCATCTTAACAAGTGTGAAGCTTCTCAGTCAGATTTTATTTGTCATGTGTGCATATTATCCTTGTCAGGGTGATATTATCTTGAGAATTGGGATTGAATTATGTTATATTAGCTTGGGGATTTGTATTGGAAGTAGTATCTTGAAACTCATATTACATTTGTGGTTGTTTTCGGTAGGATGTTCTTGTACCACAACCATTTTTTTAAAACTAACATGAGTATGAATGACCAGTCATGATGGAGCACATTCTATAGGATTAGTCCTTGAATTTAAGTGATAAGTCCTACAAACTTTTAATTGTCATCATCTCCACAAATTATAGTTCTCTAATACTTATGGAATCTCCAATTAGTCCGTGTGAAATGATTTTATAGTAAACATATATTATTCAAACAAAATGAACTCATATTTCTCTCAATATATACACACAACTTATAAATTTTATGAACTATTTATGTTTTAGTTCATGAATATTATTCACAAGTTATGCCATTTTGCCTTTTTTTCCCTCGGCCACTCAACCAAACCACCATCCCAATTGCCTTGAAAATAGGTTGTCCAAACACCTAGATTATTTCTATTAAAATTTGAGAAATTTTCATTTCACAGCTATGCTTTAATAAAATTACAATTTATACAATCACTTCAGTACATTCTATACCTTGTCATTAGCATTTCTTTCAAAAACTTATGTAATATTTCATGAGTTGAAATACCCTGAGCAACCAATTGATGAAAATATTAGTTTATTGGTTAGTGGTAAAGTAAAAGTTTGAGAAACACCTTTTGTGACTTATGTATTACAGAAAATACCTTCCTGCATGAATGCTGAAATAAGAGCAGTTGTGTCTTTTAATATGCAAACATAGATGCTGGATGAGAGAGAGAGAGAGAGAGGAAGCGGGTAAGGCAAGCTACTCCCAAAAAGTGGAGTGTGGAGCAGAGGTGAGAGGCTGAAGACAGGAGAAAAAATGGCAAGGGGAAATGAGAAATGTAAATCTGATAAAAGAGAACAAGCTATGTGTTATTATGGAAGTAGGGATTTTTCTTAATATATTGCCAACAAACAGATCCTGAGGGTCAAAGGAAACATTTTGGGTGACCACTTCCTGTTGGCCAAGGGTGCAGGATATAATTATATGAGACAAGATGGTGTGCATTGCAAGGGAGGGTTTGAATCATAATTTCACAAAAAACATGGTGCAAAATGAAAATTTCTATTAAAAGTTTTACTCGATAATTCCTATAATTTATGATGCTTCTTTTTGTTGGTTCTTATTTCCTTCAGCACCTAATTGAAGTATCTTTTTGCCTTTATTTTCCTCTTAAATTACTGTCAAATCTTCAAATGAGGTTTGCAGGTATCTCCATGAGGTTTGCTCACCATCTCTTGTCCACAAAAATTTCAAGTCTTCCAATATCTTATTAGATGTGGATCTCAACCCACACCTTTCGGATTGTGGGTTGGAAAGCCTTGTACCTGATGCAGAATTCCAGGTGAAGCATAACGTGATAAACTTGTCTGCTTTGAATTAGTTTTTACAAGGTTAAGTAGTGGAATTACAATGCTGAAGTTTGGTCTTAAATATATATGGAATATATTTTCCTAATATTTGTCTTGAAATTATGCATGTTTTAAAAGAAAGAGTCTTAATTAAATGTCTTTTTGCTTTAACATTTTCCCGGAGAGAATCCATTCCTACGTTCTATGTTCATTTGATCAAATCTATGTCATTTGCCATTGATACACGTTTTACCATATTCATTATGAAGAAAATTGTACTAGTGTCCCTAGTAACTAATAAAAGTCATCCTGTTTGTAGGAGGCTGATAGTGAAGGGGAAGAACAGAGAAAGGGAGGGGAGAAATCTCTTTACTGCAACTAGTTATTCATAGAATGAAGAGAGTGATTTGTGGCTAATGAGTCTTTTACTTCTTGAGTTTGCACAGTATTTCAGTAAGTTTGTTTGCCTTAGGCAGTAGACATTCAGAGGATTGAAATAGCCTAGCTGGGGAATATGCAGAAAACAAACAAGAGCTTGACACAAGGACAACATGAAAAAGTATTAGCTGATAGGGCCAGTGGAGAGCGAACCTAAGTTGTGTTGCTAAAGAGACATCTGTTTGATGACGTTCGATTGCAGCATTAGGCATGTGGGGTTGAGATCAGATATCTAACTTTTGGGTGAAAGGAGAAGAATGAGATGGTGTCAATTATTTGGACTTATGATATCTAACTGATGGAAGAAAAACATAGAGCCTAGCTGCAAGATGATAGTCATGATGCTACCATGGTAATCTATGTTAGATACAATAATTAGTGATCTAAAGTTGTAAACTGAATAAAAGATGTGACTAGGACTTGAATCAGTGGGAGAATCTTTTTAATACCTTGTTTCTCTTTGATTGGCAAGGAGGGTGGTGGGTGTGTTTACTGGATCTGAGGATACATAATATCAGTAACTAGGAGTTAAGGGATATGCTAGGTAGTTTAAGAAACACATAAAAGTTGTTATAGCAACAATTTGAGATCAATGATAGATATGTTTTCCTTTTTACAAGTCAAACATAACTCAAACAGATAGAATAGTGAATGACATTAGTTCTATGCTAAATCAAAACAAAGAATTAGGCAGATTTCAACCTAGATAAATTGCTTTGGAATTCCAGACTCGAGATTTAGTATTTTGCTTTACTACAGAACCAAACATTAAGAGCTGTATATTCCTGAGTAGCTAAATCAATGGATTTTACCGCTTCTAAGTGAACGTTATCATAATGACTGGTGAGTAGTATAATGACATTTACTTAAGGATTTTTGTATGGGTAAATATTTTTAAACCAACAATTTGCCTATTAAAGTGCTACAGTTTGTCTTGATGATTTCTACAGGCATCAGATCAGAATATGGCATCCGGATATGATCCACCTGAAGTTTCCATGTCTGGCCAGTATACTTTGAAGAGTGACGTGTACAACTTTGGCATTGTTATGCTTGAACTTTTGACTGGGCGGAAACCTTTTGACAGGTACTTCTGTTAATCTGATAGAAGTTGATTCAGAAACGGCATCTAAGCACTAAGTTTCTTATGTTATAAGCCTCAATTAACATTATTACTATATCTAAATTCCTGCCATATGATAAATGCATTCTCTTTGGATACTTCAGCGATGGTTTCATTGTTTATGTTGATGGTCTGATTTGTGGCAAACTTTTTTGCAGCTCAAGACCGAGGCCAGAGCAGTCACTGGTTCAGTGGGCAACTCCCCAGCTCCATGACATTGATGCACTGGATAGGATGGTTGATCCAGTCCTCAAGGGGCTATACCCTGCAAAATCGCTGTCTCGGTTTGCTGATGTTATAGCCCTGTGTGTCCAGGTTAAACCCTTCATCCCTCGTGATTTGCTCTCGGCCTCTGTCCATGCAAAATCTCATGCATCTGCCTCTGTGAACCCAAACTGCAAGATAACACTTTGCTGCATTATGTGTTACTCGTTTGTTCCCACTAGAAATCTAGGAATCAATAACGAATCCCACCTTTGTTGCTGTCAACAGCCTGAGCCCGAGTTCCGGCCACCCATGTCAGAGGTCGTGCAAGCCCTAGTCCGCCTGGTTCAGAGGGCTAACATGAGCAAGAGAATGGTAGGTGGGGAGATGCAGGAGACGAGCCGAGCTGATGAACCAGATGATTACATGCTCTAATTCCAGGGATGCAGCTTCCCATCTCCTCTTACATGTTACTCGTCCCGATGTCAGCTGTGGGCACATCACCTTCCTTCTGCACTGAGGCAAAGACATGATGGTTTGATTCCACCAGTGGCAAGGATATTGCATCAAAACTTCGTCCTTGTACCGTTGTATTTTTCTTCTTTTTTCTCAATTTTGATGAAGGGAAAAGACTGATCTCCCTTCAGGAATTCAAGCAAAATGCAGATGCTTTCTTGAGCGGTTTCATCCATGATCCCAAATAACTTGAATATAATTCAGATTGATCACAAGGATAAATATTTTGTTACCCTAAAACCAAAACTTTTGACGGAGCAATTCTTTCAACATCTAAGAGCTTTAAGAGTGACATGCATAGCTACACTTCACAAGGAATGGATATGATATCAATCTTGAAAACCCAGGCTTCAAAACATGCACATGCTAATGGAACATGAAAGTAGCTGAAAGTCCACAACAAGTGGTTTGCAAACAGGCCCTGGCTTAATCCTTCATTAGTTGAAATAAAAATCAAGTAATAAGACATCTCGCACGGTGGATGAACAGTTTGCCTTCCTTTGATCGTTTCGATAAAGTCATGTTTAGTTATAGACCATGTACTTGGGTGTCGCACTGAACTTCTGGTAACCCTTGATGACTTTGTTCACTGCATCGAGGAAGTCTTTCTCTGTAACGGTCTTCCTCCGTGCTCTGATCGCGTACATCCCGGCTTCAGTGCAAACACTCCTTATATCAGCCCCTTCGAATAAAATACAAAATGACAACAGACATCATCAGTATCAAAAAGAGATTCTGATTGGGGCACATAATCTCATCAGACTGATTCAAAATGGCTACATAAACATCCACCTAAGCTTTCATAAAACAAATCTATCAAAATAAATTTTTTTATGATGCCGATTACTAGAAAATTGGGCATTTCCTCACCAGTGGAATTGGGGCAGAGGCGGGCAAGAAGCTCAAACCGGATGTCTCTCTCACAGTTCATTGTCCTGGTGTGGATCTTGAATATCTGTGTTCGGCCCTCCAGATCAGGTAGACCAAACTCAACCTTACGGTCCAACCGTCCAGGACGCAGCAGTGCAGGGTCTAAAGTATCAGGCCTGTATTATTTCATAGCAAACATGCTAAAACAGTTAGACTCGGCTTAAGCTAAAAGGACAATTACCAATTCAATTGTTAAAGCATTAACAACCACGAATGTATTGCAAATAGACAAATTTATCAACCAGATGGAAATGAGGACATTGACAATTTAAAAATAAAAAAAATTTGCAATGTTGAAAAACCAAGGAGTTCAACACCAAAATATGTTGCTATTAGATGCTCCAAAAGCCATAGCATATACATCATAATTGAAGAACTCGTGAATTCCATCAGATGCCATATGCTTTCAGAAAGAATAAACATGCTAGCTCAGATATCAATTTGAAATAAATGATGGAATAATGAATATTATATTCATGTTGAAAATTGCATTGTACCCTTGCAGTGTAGCATAATATCCTAGTGGTCCCTTCAAAGTTGCAAATATCAAGCATGGCCCTGCAAATGTTATTAAACTAACGATGATGTCACAAAGGTTAAATTCCCACTCTAGACTGTTTGTACCTGACAATCACCCTGTGAAGGGACTTTACTCCAAGGTTTTAAATCTCGTGCTGTACCAATGTAGTGAGCTTTGCTCGGTATGGTACAATATGGGGTACCGAGCGGTACACCTAAAAAAAGGGTATAAAATCCTCTGAAAATACCTAAAAGTAGTGCCACAATAACATCCCAAAGCCCTCCAAGGTGAAGACAAGACCAAACCCTTAGCCTTCCTGCTTCTCCTCGTCGCCTCGGCTGCGACCTTTGACGACAAGGAGATCCTCGACCCCTACCCCAAATACTCCGCCTTCACCAAATACCTCACCGACTTGAAGCTCGTCGACGTGATCAACAGCCACCAGACCGTCACCATCCTCGTCGTCGACAACACCGCCATATCCCCCATCTCATCCCTCCCCACCGACAAGATCAAGACTGCCATCTCCGCCCACATCCTCCTCAACTACAACGACCCCAACACCTTCGACCAAAACCTCAACAAGTCCACCCTCCTCCCTGCCGTCGCTGACAGCTCCGAGAACTTCACCAAGCTCCCCAACGAGCAGATGGTGTCCGGGTGGGCCACGCCCGTCGCTCCCCTCAACTCCAACCTAATCAACATCATCAGGGCGAGGCCGTACAACCTGTTGGTGTTCCAGATATGTCAGTGCTCTAGATCTGTACAACTTGTCGAAGCCCAAAGCCTGATGCCGCCCGGTAGCGGGTGGTCGGCGTGCTGGTCTGCTGGCGGACTGGTATGTACCACCCGGTACAATTTTGCAAACCCTGCTTTGCTCCCCATATAAAGTACCCAATGTAAAATTTGAAAGAGTTGCAGTTCATTGATGTGTTGTACCTGTTCTGTCATCAGCATGGTATTCATGTACTGATGACAATGACTTGATGTAACAAAGGTTTAGACTTCCAACTGCCTTGTGGCCATACATCAAAGGCAACATAAAATGGACATGTTTAGATGCTTTACGATAAACATAAGAATGACTTAGCTATAAACATGAGTTGGTTATCAAACACTCGAACAGGTTTAACCCCGGTTAAGGCTGGCCACTTATAATAAAGCCAATGACAAGAATAACTTGAGATTATTAAACAAAGTAGCATATCTGACTGGTATTAGAGATTTTAAAGAGATAAAAATGATATTCTGAATCTATTGCAAGGTACTACAGAAATTGTCCTTATGTTAGTCTATTGCAGCAGATAAAAATGCAGACACCAAAAATGCTCATAACTTAAGCCGTGGCCTAGATGCCATTTCCAAGTGATATAAAAAAGCAAATCCAAATTAAATAGTATACCTGTTGGTAGCCATTAGAACTTTAATATTTCCTCTGGCATCAAAACCATCAAGCTGATTAACAATTTCAAGCATTGTGCGCTGAACTTCATTGTCACCACCAACCCCATCATCAAACCGAGCTCCACCAATAGCATCAACTTCATCAAAGAAGACAATGCATGCTTTCTTTGACCGTGCCATCTATAATAGGAGAACAATTAACAAACAAGTCTATAGAAGAACAACAAATTGAGCACAAAAGAATGTGAACTCTCAAGGATGAAAGGAAGAGAAGGCAGATTACTCAGGAAGATTTGACAACCTGAAAAAGTTCACGAACCATCCGAGCCCCTTCTCCAACATATTTTTGAACAAGCTCACTTCCAATGACACGAATAAAGCAAGCATCTGTTCTGTTGGCTACTGCTCTAGCTAATAGTGTTTTGCCAGTTCCCGGGGGACCGTAACAGAGAACACCTTTTGGAGGATCAATACCTAATTTGACAAACTTCTCTGGATGAAGCATAGGAAGCTCCACAACCTACAGAAAAAGTTAGATGAACAAAGAATATCAAGATATTGGTGTGCAAGCTGACAACCAATAGGCCTAGTCAGGTCACTCGGGCATAAACGCACAAATTACAATGAAATTATATATCAGATTTTCCTCCTAGTAAATGCATCTCATATGCTATAACTACATCAATAAATAAGCTAACCCTGAAAAAGGTCAACAAACAGCTCATACACACCTCTCGCATCTTCTCAATTTGCTCCTTGCATCCACCAACATCATTATATGTAACATCAGGCTTCTCCTCGACTGTCATCATTGTAACACTTGGATCAATCTTGGGTGGCAAGGGAATTTGAATTTGGTACTTGTTTCTGTCAACTCTGCAATCAGAAAGAGAATAGATGTGATATCCATGAAGGATTGAGAAGCCTAAATGTATTCTTACAAGGGGCAAAAAAGGAACACTGAGAATAAAAGATGAATGAGAATGCATGCAGTAGTTATGACATTAAATAGTTGAATCCTACCCTCGCCCGATATCAGAAAGCCAGTCCTTTCTACTTTGCAAAATGCCAAAAGATGAAGAAAAACGAATTGAGAAGTTATATTTGTCACCCTGCCAAATTGACTATGCAAATACTATTACATGGAGAGACACTTTTTATACCATGATCTGAATCCCCTTGGCAAACTAGCAACAATTTTCTCACAAAAGAATGTTTCCATTTTCTAGTATAGGTAATTCTGGAACCATACCACAGAATGGCAGAAACCAGGCACCATTGTACAAGAATTGTCTACACTCATGCAAAACAAACGTTTTGTTTGCTTACATAAGATCTTAGATGTGATTCAAAGTAAAAAAAATAAATTAAAATTCAGAGGCAACATTTCTAAGAATCAAGATCTAAATGTGTGCACTTCTGAAAATATAGAAACAACCAAAATCTCCTACTAAGGTGCATGATAAACTTTATGATATTGAAAGCTCTCTCTCCAATAACATCTTTATTTGAATTTTATAGCTCGATATCTCTAATCATTCCACCAGAAAAATTGAGAGCACTAACAGTGGAACACAACTGGAATTTACAACAAGATCCAAGAACCATGGTTTACATTGTTTTGTACATCAACTGACAAAAAGATGATGCACTACCTGAAGCTGCCCACATGGCAAAGATGATGTTCATCTTTCATCCTTAATCCAAAGATAGGTTATTGTTCTTAATTAATTAGTGCTCTCAAAACAATACCAGTACCACTACAGAGTTGCTCTCAATATTCTTCCCCATTACAAAAAGAATCAGTGATCTTTGTTTATCCATCAAAAGTTGCAAGTACGCTTTAGCACCAGGTATTAAACAAGATGAAATAAGAGTTTAACAGGTACAGGCCTAAAGATTCATTATGCCTGCGAACCTTCCAAAAATTTCTCCTACAGATTCGATTAACTACATACTCAATCTAACATAAAGTAGCCTCTATTTTTAAGCTATGATGCAAGGTATGCAGTTTCGAATAATACCGCTCGTACCGGGCCGTCAGCTGACCGATACACAAACCACCGGTTACCGGACGATATATATATATATATATATATATATATATATATATATATATATATATATAAGGCGACGCGATGTCACCTTTTATAAAAATATTTTATATATAAAAACGAGACGATGTCGCCCTGCCTGGGGGAGAAGAGAGAGGCAACGTCATCAAATTATATTTATATATATATATATATATATATATATATACCGAGCGATATATCGAACGATATACCGCTTGGTATACTGTATCATACCGTAC